GTCCATGGCTTAATGATCAGGCTGCTGAACACTGCAAACCATGTGGCAAGTACCTATGCAGAGAGATGACGGTAGAGAGATGAAGGTAGAGTGATGACGTCTTGATGGATGATAGCATAAATAAGAAAGCCATACAATAAAAAAATTATTTTCTTTCAACCCTCTGTACCTATCAGACGCTTAATTAAAATATGCATGCATGTGAACATAACCCTTGTAAAGAGCACAGCAAAGCTAGGCAGAAACTATATGGACAGCTTGAATGTTAAAACAATTGTAGAGATAACATGTTGCGATACTATACTCTTCAAAAAAAGAAACTTGACACTGACTTTCAAAATGTAATATAATGCAATTGTTTCGAAATAGGACACAGAAACCATAATTGTAACACTTTTTGAAGATCAATGTACACAATGTTTAAAACATTAATCGTGTCACCTAGACAGACACACGTACACGATACAGTTAATGTCATAGGGGTACAGAAAATGTCAGTACCGGTTGTGCCCACCACGTGCATCAATCACCGCTTGACACCGACGACCTATAGATGCAATCAAGTTGTCAATAACACGCTGTTGGATGTGCTGCCATTCATGCTGAAGTGCATCAAGAAGCGCCGGAAGTGTTTGGGGCGGTGGATACCTTCTGCGAACGCGTCGATCCAACTCGTCCCACAGATGCTCAATCGGGGACAAATCTGGTGACCGGGCTGGCCAAGGTAATGTCTGGATGTTGTGCTGTAGGAAGTCCTGACAAACACGTGCAATATGCGGTCGAGCGTTGTCCTCCTGGAACTGTCCGCCATGAACGTTGACGTGAGGAAGAACGTAAGGTTGTAGGATCAAGTCTCTGTAGCGCACACCTGTCAATGCACCTGCCACTTGCACGAGAGGCGTCCTACCAGCGTGATGAATTCCGGCCCATACCATGACACTCCCGCCGCCAAATGGGACAACCTGCTGCACACAGTTGGGGGCGTAACGTTCACCCCGACGTCTGTAGACACGTGCGCGCCCATCAGCACGTGTGAGTAGGAAACGGGACTCGTCATTAAACAGTACATTTTTCCACCTTGCACGTGCCCATCTAACCCTCTGTTGGTACCAAAGCAGACGGTCGATGACGTGGGGTCAATACATGTTTTCGAACAGGTTTTCGTGCAAATAGCCCAGCCTCCCTCAGTCCGTTGCGTACCGTTGGATCTGATATGCTGCGTACCCCAGGGATCTGTGTGGTTGTAGACGTGGCTGTGGTAGTACGGTCTCGGAGGTGTCGCAGCCGGATGTATCGATCTTGTTCTTGGGTTGTCACCCTTGGTCTTCCTGACCTTGGTCTGTCGTCAACTCTGTTGGTGTTGTTGTATCGGGTCCACAGTGCGGAGATTGTCAGTCTGGATACGCCAAAGTGCCTGGCCACTTCTTACTGAGTTGCTCCAGCTTGTAATCTCCCAATGGCGTTGTTCCATTGAGCTGCATTCAGTCTTGGCATTCTGTCACCGCCTCTACTGCCGTTATAAGGAGTGTATGAACAGCCGTTGATGTGGATTTTTATACCCATTCAGCAGGGGGGCCTGCACGTTTTTTTACAGGCGGTTGCGTTTGGATGAAGCTGTAAAATTGATCCCCAAAGGCTACGTTTATGTGCTTTGCATGTGTTTTCGCGAATTATAGACACAACATCTTTCCGTTTGACTTATTTGGTTCTCATTTAATGTAATTATTTGGGATATTTGGCAAAAAGTGGTTTCACATCTAAGAGTATATTATTCATCAATTTGCATAATATTTTCATAGCTTTTCCTACTCATTTAGTGGCACAAGCCAAAACTCTTCCTCGCAGGTTCCCCCATCTCACTGAATCTGATACTCTTTAGCCATAATCTTATCAGTTGTTCCCCTGAGTAGTAGGTAGCAGGACTACAGGACCGGAAGTGGTTCTGCGCATGTGCGAAGAGGGGCATTGTGGGTGATGCGTGCATATCCAAGATGTTGGCACTTCCGCTTCCGGGGAGGCGTGCGCATCCAAGATGGCGGCACTTTTGGTTCCGGTTGCGTGCGCCTCAACGATGGCGGCATTTCCGGTTCCGGGGAGGAGGAGATCTGTACAGCTCATCTTCATCTCTGCCATTCTCGATGTGATGATGATTTTTTACACTGAACCCACTCGAGTGTTTTTTTTATAGGAGAGGGAGTTGATTGAAATGGTCCCTGTTTTCATTGGTCCAAAACGCAGCACGCTGATTGGTCCGTTCCTGAGCCCTGGTTTTCCAAAACGAACCGACCCTTGTGTTTCTTTTCCATAGGAAATGGATTCTTCCATGGTGGAGAAAGCACAACTCGGCTCCGGTGCTGTCTTCTGTTTGGTTTGAAATTCAACCAAGACTACTTGGAAACCGCACCACCGGACAGCGTTCCCATAGAACTACACCCTTTATTTGATCGATGACTTTTATCAACAGATGTCAGGCCAGAAGGGGGATCGTATTGGTCTAGGTATCGATCACCCAGCTTTGAACACCGCCATACAGATTCTCTTTCGTTGCTTTGGAAATATCCATGGCCAAGATATCTGTGCCGTGGAAAGTCCAACAGCCCAACCAAGCCCTTGCCATCGATGCCACTATGATTGTGACCATAGGACACGTAGCAGATCCCGACAGTCTAGGATAATGTGGCCACCATCTGAAAAACGTGGTTGGAGTGAAATCGTGGTTAAAATGCAAAAAGGGCATTGTACGGATCAAGAATGAAGATCAATCATGTTTGGCAAGGGCCCTGGTGGTGGCACAGCATTATGCCCAGAATGGGACAGCCAGTGACAGAAACTGACGAATCGAGCCGACGCTCAAGGCAAACAGGCATGCCCCTTGTTTCGGCAACTTGGCATTACTGAAGGTCTCTTTCAGGGCGACCTAGCACGCGTGGGACGTGCCTTGGCCCAAATGAATTAGCAACTGTAAGTCTACAGTCAAGAGACGGATCGGAGCCTGATGTACAAGTGTGATGAGGCTCAATCCAACGCCACCATGCTGCATTTATTCCATCACGATCACCACAATGATGGGAAAACCCAGCGCCTGTCAATCGATTCACAGGTGCCCGACGTGTTTTCACCTTGTCCACGTCTTGGAGACACCCATGGCTGATCACAAGTGCTCAGATGAGAACCCGTGACCCCAGACCATCGCTGTTATGTCACTCCCCTCCGTGAAGCCAGTGATGCAGAGGAGGGAGAGGAGGAGGAATGCTACAACCAAAACGGACAAGACAACGTCAAATACCTCTTCTATGATTTTGAATGTATGCAAGACACCAGGACGCACATCACGAATTTGGACGTGGTGCAGTTAGGATGTGGACGATGCATTGGGCAAGTGACAAAGGAGTTGTGCGAATACTGTCCATGGAGAGAAGAAGGTTACAGCCCTAGCTGCGAGAAAGTGTTTCAAGGCCCCACCATGCTACACGCTACGTGTGCCTGGTTGAGGACTCTGGCCACAAAATCCAAAAAGAAGAAGAACCAAGAGGAGGAGGAGGGCGCACGCAAGGGGACAACAGCACGGCTAGGCAAAAGAAAACAAGACGGAACCCTCTCAAGCCATCCCCCTACAAAACATCGACAACGTACATCACCCCTGGGGGAGGGGGAGGGGAAGGATGCCATGGAGGTGGACACGCCCACCCCATTTGAGGAGGAGGTGGAGACGGTGGAGACGAAGAAGACGAAGAAGAACACTGATGTCCAACCACCCGAGAAGGAGGATGTCATTTATACGATTGCTCATAACTCATGAGGGTATGCTCTGCACTTGATCATGAAGGGCGTGCAGTCGCATCTGGTGAAACTCCAAACCAAGATTCGGAGAGGTCAACAGATTTTACAGATGACCGTGGGACAGTTGTGTTTCAAAGACCTATGAGACCTCTGACATCGCTGCTGCCGCCACCGTCGCCGATGCTGCCGTCAGGACTAATCAGCGCGCTACGTTGTCGACCAATCAAGAAGCAGGGTTTCAGCACCTCTCCTATAAAATAAGAGTGAAGCCACTCACACTGCATTCTATGAGATCATCATCATGCAAAACAATGCAGACAATTGGGATATGGACATAGAGACAGAAGCATTAACATCGCCTCCTCCATGGCAATGCGACAGGTGCCAAGGCTGTCTGCCTGTGTACGCTCTTGGCACAAAGGCACGTGATGGCACATTTCAGTGCATCTGTTGCAACACCATCCTGAAGAACACTTACGTGACGCGATTATGCCACACTAGTAAGTGCCCTGTCAGGAGACAGGTGGCAGGCCATCCGTGCCTTTGCAGCACAGCACCTATGTGGGTGAGGAGTTAGTCTCTCATGATCAAACGGCCCTTTTCAGGGTCACCCATCTCTCCCGAAAGAACACTTTCATCCTTGCTTTGACTACCCTCTTCACTATCACAACAACAACAAAAACCTCCTCCTCCTTCTCCTCCTCCCTGCCACCTCAGCCGCCGCCTTCACCCTCCCTCCCTCCCTCCCTCCCCACCTCCTCTGCCGCTGCCGCCTCCTTCCCACCCTCCCTCCCTCCTTCCCTCCTTCCTCCGCGCTGCTGCCTCCACCCTCCCTCACTCCCTACTCCACCACTGCCGCCTCCACCCTCCCTCACTCCCTACTCCGCCACTGCCGCCTCTATCCTCCCTCCCTACCCACCTCCTCTGCCGCTGCCGCCTCCTTCCCACCCTCCCTCCCTCCTTCCCTCCTTCCTCCGCGCTGCCGCCTCCACCCTCCCTCACTCCCTACTCCACCACTGCCGCCTCCACCCTCCCTCACTCCCTACTCCGCCACTGCCGCCTCTATCCTCCCTCCCTCCCCGCCTCCTCTGCCGCCGCCGCCGTCGTCGCCCCCTCCTCCCTTCAAGCTAAGGTCATAGAATGTACCGTGTTGTATCCAAACAGTTTGTTGTGTCTGGTTCACGATTACTTACAAACCGATGACATACAAATGACAATTATTCCGAGATGAAGTATTTATATACTAATCCCACATCATCAATAATTTTAATCAATTAACAATTTTCCAACCTGATTATGCAAAAATGTCTCAAAAGTTTCCTCGAACAAAACAGACAGTCTCACATTGAACCTGAAATATACAACTTGAATGGCAAAGACCACTTCTCTGTCTGTAACAACATGTTATCCTTCTTTGTCAACACAAACAATACACTGACTTCATTGAGCGCCATGGGACACCAGGAGATGCACCATTTCCTGATGTTCCTTGTCTCTCGCCACGTCGGCAACATTCTGACCCTTCTTGTTCCTTGCGTTGATGTCCACCACATTCAATGACAGGACAAACTTTACCGTCTCCTCATCTTTTCCCTCACAAGCCAAGTGAAGGATGCTGTTACCAGCATCATCCACTAGCGTCATTACAGCGCCTGCACGCACCAGTAACTCCACCACTTCTCTTCGTTTATATAGTGAAGCCTCCATTACCGGTGTCCTGCTCTCCTTTCCTCTACTATTGATGTCTGCCATTTCTTGTGAGAGGACAAATTTCACCATCTCGACATCTCCTCCCTCACAGGCCCAGTGAAGGATGTTGTCACTGTCACTGTCCACTAGTGACACATCAGCACCTTCACGTATAAGTAACTCAACTACTTCTCTGTGTCCATACCAGGCGGCCGCCATCACTGGTGTCCTGTAACCCTCTCCCCTACTGTTGACGTCAGCCATCTTCTCTGAGAGAACAAATTTCACCAACTCCACAAGTCCTGAATAACAGGCATAGTGAAGGATGTTGTCACCTGCAGAGTCCTCCAGTGACACATTAGCTCCTTCAGTCACAAGGAGCTTCACCACATCTACATGCCCATGCCATGCTGCCGCCATCACCGGTGTCGTCCTCCACAGTCCCCCTATACCATCGATATCAGACTGACCCTGGGACATGATGCGCTTCACCACCGCCATGTTCCCAGCCCAGCAGGCAGCGTGAAGGTCAAACTCAGCTGGCGCAGGTCGTTGTGATGGTGTTGGTGTCGCTGTAACACAGGGTAAACTCTGTACACGTGCTGGACATCATACACGCACACATTATCTTACAGCGCTGGGGAATAGTTTACACCTACGTCAATTAACTGGATGTTTCAGTAGCTCAAGGCCAGAATCATAAGGACACGTTATGTTACAGTGCCCATAAATAGTTTTCAAGTAGATTAAATAACTGTGTATTTAGTAGTTTAATATAATCATACAGATAAATTATCTTACAGTGCTGGTGAATAGTTAACATTAATTAGCAGCATACTTGGTGGATCAAGGACTGCAAAAAGCCTGAATGAAACTATTCTGATGTGAAAAATAATTTTGAGCTAGGCTTAGATATGGACTCTTCTACAGTCAGTGTATTGACTGTGAGATGTTATCTGTCTGGTCACACCTCGTCTGGGTGTCCTGCTTATTCTCTCTGTGTTGTGTGTTCTTGCACACCCTCTAGACTGTGTGTCACTGGAGTCTGTGAACACAAAGTTGACAGTGAGACAAGGACATCAACAGTTAACATACAGCCAGGTGTAATACTCCCAGTAGACTGTGTGTCACTGGAGTTGACAGTGAGACAAGGACATCAACAGTCAACAAACAGCCAGGTGTAATACTCAAATTAAACTGTGGGTCGCTTAAGTCTGTGGACACAAATTTGACAGTGAGACAAGGACATCAACAGTAAACATATAGCCAGGTGTAATACTCCCTTTAGACCGTGGGTCACTTCAGTCTGTGGTCAGTGGATTATTTTCAAACCACCGTGATATAGCTGGAATATTGCTCAGTGCGGTAAAGTCATTTACTCTTCTCTGGCGTCAACTTCTTTTAATGATATTATGTTCTGGCTTGAACAAAAATGCTTCAGGTGGCATTACATTGGTTATAATGTTGTTTTCAGGACCTCACTACAGATGTAAACAAGAAGTACACAAAGAAACTTCACCAATAGATTAGTAGTTATAGGCAAACACAGACCTTCAGTGAATAACTCCGGGAGTAAATGTAAACAGGTAACAAAATACACTTCTTTGTCTTTGTTCCATGATGTTCATAGGTCGCGCTGTTTCACTCATGAACTATTTCCAATACAGCTCGGCATCTGATGTTTCCAAACATCATGCAGTTTGAATGAATGCAATATTGCTCTGTGCATCGTTAAACATTAAACAAACAAACAAAACATCATACAACGTCTTAATTATGTATTAAACCCTAAACAGCACAGCATAAATGTGAACGCTGGTCCGCAGCAGTACAAATTATATGACGGTAAAAAGAAATAAGAATAGAATGATAATAAGAATAAGAATAGCATTCCACAATTTTCGTAAAGATGCCAACGATGAGGATCATAATGTCAATGTCAATGTTGATTTTGTTGATGGTTCTGTCCTACTGGAGAGTACAGAAATGAATGTCAACAAATGAAGTGCCATATCAAATCAAATTTTCTTTGATGCCCAGGCCCAGTCACTTCCCACTCCAAAACCGTCAATGTGTGATTTTGCATCAAAATGTAAAAATGAAATGTAGATTATGCAATGAATTTAATGTCCAACACATTGCCAGTGGATGCCCCGCTTTGGCACAAACACAGTATCTTAAGCATTATGATGGAGTGGCTCTATCATTTTATTACCATCTTCTCTATGCTTGTGGTTTTGACGCAGATGTCCATTCATCGTATGACCAAGAATATGCAGAGATTTGGTGGCCAAATCCTGAAGTGAATGTAGATTATATACATACCAGGAGTAGTTCTCCAGCCTATACCTCTCTTTGTAAGATATGTGTGACACTTGTCAACGTTTTGCCCATCTCTATTTCCTTGAATGTTAATTTTGAAGAGTGGACAGATTTAGACACAGGTAATCGAGATTCTTCTACGTACCATTCACATAGTTTTCATTTTTAAACATTGCTGGCCACAGTTAATACCATAATGAAAATCCAGCCAATAATTACATAACATAACATACACACAATGCTGTGAATCATGTGAGTTATTTTACTGTTCTAACAAAATAGGTCACACACAGGTGAAGGCGGTAGCGTTAGCATTTGACGAATAGTTATAAGATGAACATACAAGTTGTTTGATCAAGGTTTCGGGTGAATAGTTGACTTATTCCAAGGCAACTGTTCACCCGAAAAAACACGGGAATATATGTCCTGCCTACCATAAAACGTTTTGAAAGCTTTTCTAAGGCCTTGAATGTTGTAACCTTGATCAAACAACTTTTGTGCAAGAGTTTTATTATGCTCTTTGGAATCTTCGAGGGTTGGCGGGGGATATGGAAACGGGCTCCGTCCATCCGTCCGTCACGTTTCGTTTCCGAAGCATAACTCAGAAACCGTTCATTATTTTTTCATCAAACTTTGCAGGTCTGCCAAGTACATGCTGAACTGGTGCCTTTTGTTATTTAGAAATTTTAGAATTTTTTTATTTGTTTACGTTTCCAAGGCAACAAGATGGACTTAGGTTCTGTGAGGGTAGAGTTCGTTTCCGGAGAATAACTCATAAACCGTTCAATATTTTTTAATCAAACTTTGCAGGTCTGTCAGGTACATGGTGAACTGGTGTCTTTTGCTATTTAGAAATTTTAGAATTTTTTATTTTTTACGTTTCCATGGCAACAAGATGGACTTAGGTTCTGTGAGGGCAGAGTTCCTTTCCAGAGCATAACTCATAAACCGTTCAATATTTTTTAATCAAACTTTGCAGGTCTGTCAGGTACATGGTGAACTGGTGCCTTTTGCTATTTAGAAATTTTAGAATTTTTTATTTTTTACGTTTCCATGGCAACAAGATGGACTTAGGTTCTGTGAGGGCAGAGTTCCTTTTCAGAGCATAACTCATAAACCGTTCAATATTTTTTAATCAAACTTTGCAGGTCTGTCAGGTACATGGTGAACTGGTGCCTTTTGCTATTTAGAAATTTTAGAATTTTTTATTTTTTTACGTTTCCATGGCAACAAGATGGACTTAGGTACTGTGAGGGCAGAGTTCCTTTCCAGAGCATAACTCATAAACCGTTCAATATTTTTTCATCAAACTTTGCATGTCTGTCAGGTACATGGTGAACTGGTCCCTTTTGCTATTTAGAAATTTTAGAATTTTTAATTCTTTTATTCTTTTTATTATTTTAAGCTCCACCTCGGTTAAAAAAGGTTAGGGTTTGTTTAGATTTAATTATGTCATAAATTCTGCAACAGGGGCGGGGGATATAGCCATGTTAGTGGCAAACTCTTGTTTAGAACTAAAACGTATTTTTTACGCATCCGATTGTCTACAAATCATAAACTAAAGGTTTTACTTAATCATTTACCTCCAAATACGTATACTCTTCTTTGTCGAAAGGAAACTATGAATATCAATTCCAGATTTTACCATCTTGTATAAATAAAGCCTACCGGATATTGTTTTAGATCATAATCAAAGTTTATGTGAAAGCATACTGTACCTCTATGCTCTCTTTGATGCTGTGTGAATGTCATCTCTGCAAGTCAGAAATACAAGATGAGAAACATGATGTTAAGAAGTGAGAAGATGCAAACAGATAAGGAAAGGCTCATATTATTGAAAGGTACATATGGATGGATGTAAACAATGTTCAGATAAACAGTCAGAGTAAAAAGAGGTAAGACAGACTTACTGAGCATGTTTTCTTCTACTTGACACAGTTGGAACTTGGATTCTGCAAAACGGTCAAATAACATTAAAGGAGCAAGTAAACGATTTACTACAGTAGTAAATTAAGCAAACTGAACTTATTGAGGGGAGAAACTACACTACACCCGGAAGACGTATAGAGATAGAACATTCAATTATCAATTGAAATGAAGTTAGCATCAAATTCAAGATTATTACATTTATATTGCAACGTGTGTGTGTGTGTGTGTGTGTGTGTGTGTGTGTGTGTGTGTGTGTGTGTGTGTGTGTGTGTGTGTGTGTGTGTGTGTGTGTGTGTGTGTGTGTGTGTGTGTGTTATGAGGATTTTGAAATCTCTTATTTAAAGAATTTAATCATATTCTACACACACACAAAAAGTAAAGTGATTGGCTTACTTGGCCTAGATCGGTGACCTGGCCGAGGTTGGTTACCTGGCTGAGATATGTGACCTGGCCTTTGAGGAGACTTTGACTCTGCAACTTGATGTTAGAGGAGAAGTTGTAAAGGCATAAATAGCGGTGAATATAGCAGAGGAATATAATCAAATGGTATATATCCTGCTTATAAAAGTAAAACAACGATGACAAGAGGTGGCTTCCTTTCATCACAAATGCCACAATGCATCAGGATGCCACTGCCTCCAAAAGGGTGAACATCTTGGAATTAATCATTCTCTTCATCCGACCATCCGTAGGCAACAAGCTGAACTGCAACTTGGTCTCTGCCAAAATCGCACAGCTCGAGACAGCTGACGTCTATTTCGTCGATTTTGATGGTTCAAGGCCATTCCACAGTTGTCTTGAGGCACATAATCATCTTGAGACTGATTGTCTGCTGATGCAGTGTCCCAGCCGCGCCAACCCCGATGTTGTCAGAGTGAGGCAGATCATATGTCGTCTACCAGTTCCTGGCTTTTCCCATGTTTGCCACGTCTAGTGGTTATGATGAATTAGTCTTGTCCTTAAGTTGGCAGCACCAGGCACTCTTGCAATATCGACCTGAGAGCCTTTCATTAGGGTCACCCCAAACCACTGTGATGTGTTGCTTGCCTCTGTGCATTTCATATTGTACAAAAATGAAAATAATCTGTCACAGTTTGTCACTGTGTATGTCCACTGGTCTAGACGTGGATTATGGACTTATAACTTTATTGAAGACATGAAAAATACTAGCGAAGAATGCATGATGTTGCAAATTCCCTCTGTCAGAACAGGAGTATAATTGTGCCATACGTATCCACATGACGTCCAACGATTCTGAGCCTCGGCGTGCTAACGTTTGTAAAGGGTAGTCAATACTTACGAGCCCCGTCTTCTTGAAGTCTCGGTGGGGACTTGGATTCTGTAAAACCGTAAACATTATTTCGCAAAACATTTACAGTCTCAGTAATCTAAATCATTTAGATAATTTAGTGATTTATAAAACGGATTCCAGGAAACGAATGCAACATCGGCATTAATATCGACATTGATTTAGGTTGGACCGACGTTGGAACCTGAGAGTGTTGTTACACCACCATACATGACATTAGAATTTCATTTCAAGGCACCAAACTTCATCCATAACTATTATTTGAACAAATCGCTACAGCATATGAATTTATTTTTAGCTTTCTGACACTAGTTTATGGATTGCACTGTACACACTGGGGGGTGGGGTGGGGGTGGGGGTGGGGGTGGGGGGGGGGGGGGGGGGGGGGGGGGGGTGTGTGTTCAAGTCAGATCAACCAATAGGTCTGTTTCTGTACATCTTAACTTAATAAGTACTAGCGAATACTGAATCATGGTGCACAGCTTATGATAGCCCTAAACTATACACTATATTTTAACAAACAGAAGTCCCCATTGAATACACTCATGATCAATAGTGCATATTAGCCTTTAGTTTGGAATATAAAATCACTTAGTTGCTTTGCATTGATCAGTCTCATTGACGAAGAGACATTGCTGGATATTTGCAAGCAATCACAGTCTACAAAATTGCGAACTGATTCAGATGAGGTCATATATTCATATGTCTAGGTTCTACACATATGTAAACTTAAGTATTCACTTAGTGTCAGTCAATTCAGAAAAGAAATTTTCAGAGTCAACTTATGGGTGCGAGTACATATCACTGGAGATTTTGCAAAACAATATAGAGAACCTACAATATGGATATGTGAAAAGATGTACAAAGCAAAATATTATCTAGTATAAACAAGCACTAGGTGGATGTAATTCTTATGAATATGTAAACCTCTATCATATCAGTAACTGAATCAAGTATTTCTGCAGTCATCATATAATAGAATCCTTAGACGTTTTTACCAGGGCGAGTTATCCATAATACGTTGTACAAGTAATACTACCTTGCTACTTGGGCTTCTTGGGAAAACCGCTCTTCATTCCTTCCTTTGTGTGCTTGTGACAACAGTGTGAATACAGAGTAACAAAAAACATTCTTTACCTGAAGTTGTTTGCAGCACATCATTGGTAGTTGTACTCGTTCGGTTAATGAAGAACATAACCAGAGAGGAGTCAAACTTGGCCATACAGTTTGGTAGGTGTATGTGGTTTGAGCCACTAGTGGGTGTTTCACGATAGAGGGGATCCACACACTTGATGTTAGAAGTGCAGGCCTGGTTCCTGCTCTGAATTTTCGTGATGTTCGAAGTGAGGCGACTGTGGGATCATCACAGGGTGGCCTACTCACAGCCGGTGTAGACTTTACATCTGGTTCTCTGGACATAATTTCCCCGAGCTGACCAGTCCTTGTTTTAGCCTCTTGATACCCAGCGCTAGACAGAGCAACAACAAGTACCATCTTTTGACGTCTCTTGGTATGAAGCGGCTGCGGATCGAACCCCCGACCTTCCGCTCTCTTGGTGGACGATCTACCACTTTATCACGGAGGCGGCCCAGTGTGCTAATTGATGATTTACACCTACAGCCACTTATTTAGGCATATGGGTTAAAATTGATATATTTACACATTTGCCTATTATGTAGCTTATTTAGCAGAGGCTCATCTATATCTACTTTGAGTGTTTTGTACAACCGAAGTAATGTTAATAGAGGTTTACATATTCGTAAGAATGTTCAACCAACAGTTCTTTATAGTTCAAAGAATACCACCTCTATGACATCAGAAGTTTTATATACACAGGGAATATTTCAGTGTTTCTCAGTGAAAAAACTAAATGAATGAAACAATGTTTCAGAACCATTGCACTTCTCTCAACTGCTTCAATGTAAGTTTGTTACATGACATTTCAGAAGTCACATTCGTCTTCAATTCAGTATGAAACAGTTTAATACTTTGACACCACACGCCATCGTACCAATCACATGTTAATTTAGCCATTGGTTGGTTATCACATGATGTTTCATGGTTGGACGGCCATGCAGATGGTATTGGTTAATATGGCATCTCACCACACGGAGACAGGTATCACAGCACACTTACCTGGCCGATGATGTGCCATGTAAGATGGACATGTGGCTCAGTGGGAAGGGAGTTGGAAATGGCTTTGGATATTTTGATCATGGAAAGTGTGATTGTTTGCTCCAAACTCGCCAACAGTTAAGGCAGGCACAGAGGTCAGATAGTCACCCTTCAATAAAAAACAAAAAATAGAACAGAACTTCATATCAGAACATCGTTTGTTACACTGGTAATGAAAGTACATAAACTTAGTGTATACCGTTAACAATCATAATAATGTACTTTATCTTACATAACATTTAGATACTGATTGGTTACTGAATAGGCATGAACCCTGCAGACATATAAGTGTCATGTTTCATACACCCAGCATATTTGCTTAGCAGAGATATTTTTCTGCCAACCTAATATGACACCGTAAACGGCAACTAAAGAAACCATAACGTATTTTTTATGCAGAAAAGTTTATACTATTTTGTATCTTTGTCGCACATGCTATGTCCAAATGAAACCTTGACACTTACAACAGTTTAAACACCAGTACCAGTACATGTGTCCGACACAACGCTTTGATATAAACATTAGCGTTCACAATGGAATATATATTTCACTAAATGTGAACCCTGTGTGGGAGGTTATGTACCAGCTCGGGGTATATGGTGTGATGTACCCTGGGTGGGAGGTTATGTACCAGCTCTGGGTATATTGTGTGATGTACCCTGTGTGGAAGGTTATGTACCAGCTCGGGGTATATGGTGTGATGTAACCTATGTGGGAGTTTATGTACCAGCTCTGGGTATATTGTGTGATGTACCCTGTGTTTGAGGTTATGTACCAGCTCGGGGTATATGGTGTGATGTTCCCTGGGTGGGAGGTTATGTACCAGCTCGGGGTATATGGTGTGATGTTCCCTGTGTTTGAGGCTATGTACCAGCTCGAGGTATATGGAGTGATTTACCCTGTTGGGGAGCCTTTGTACAAATTCAGGTTTATGATGTGATGTTCCCTGTGTGGGTGTCTATGTACCAACTCGGGACATACAGGTTGATGTCTCACACACGGTACATCATACCATTTATCCCAGTAGTATAAATGGGGGTTCTACCGCAACTCCACTGAAGCCAGATTTATACCGAAATACCTTTACTACAGAGGGAATTTTTCATGCAAAAACGATGATGCGATTCAATGATCGTCTTGACTTGTATTAAAAGAATCATCAATTTTGATTAATAATGGACAAGGTATAGGAGCACTACAAAAATTAGCCACTGCGGCTAAGGTATCTAAAGATGTGGCCAAGGATTGGTTAAAGAAACAAGCGATGTGGCAAATATATTTACCGGAACCGCGTTATATACCGAGGAAGAAGTTTTTATATTTTTACAACGAATGAAGTTCATCAGGATGACCTCTTGTTTCTTCCTCACAATAAGGCAAGACGCAAACCATATAAATACGCTTCAACCATAGTGGATGTGGCTAGTCGCCACAAGGAGGCTGAGCCATTAACCTCAAAAGATTCAACAGAAGTAGCTAATGCACCGAGTCGCATATATAAACGTGGACCACTAAAATGGCCCAAGTTGTTTCAAGTAGATCCTGGTCGTGAGCTTATGGGATCAGTAACTAAAGCACCACAACAGTCAGGCTTGATGAAAAACAGGCCCACATTAGTCAAGCTATTGTTGACAGATTTAACGTAACATTAGCCAAACGTTTTTTGTATATCAGTATAGGACTAAAAGGAAATCAGAACGATTAAGATCAACCGAATGTGTGACACGATTATCAGCTGTTGTATCAGCGCTGAATAATGAAGTAACGAGATTAATCAGGAAGAAACCATCAGATGAGATTACAATTAAATCTGTGACTTCTGAATCTTCATCACCGAGGAGAGGCAAAGAACAAAAACTTCCAGATAGAGTAAGCGTAAGATATTTATACCAGCCCGGTGAACTCGAAAGAGGCCAACGTCACGCAACTGATCCAATTTGGTCCTTTAGGTATAAACTAAGCGGCAAAAGAAAATACAGGTTGGCAATTTCTAATTTTCCTAAAAAGAGCGATAACTAGTGGAATGTGGGTATTGTGAATATGACTGCCCAGGAACAGGTACCGAAAAACACCTCACCCGAACACGCCACCATTGACGGTGCTCGTGCGGTGACAAAAAAATGGTGAAACAGGTTTCCCGCCTGTGGCATACACTGCACGTGCATGTTAGCTGTATAAATTCGTTCGTCTGCAGGGTGTAACCACACGTGATGGAAGCACACAAAAGAAATGCCACGACTGTCACAGGAGCAGAGAGAGAGACACCGGTATGGCCGAAATAAGGGCAACACAGGTCCAAATTGCCAGAAGGTTTGGTTGTACACCATTGACAGAAGCCAGGCTGATTCAACGGTACAGGCAGACAGGGAGGACACAGGACAGGCCTAGAACCGGACGACCCACCGAGTGACAACACCACTGGAAGACGGTTAGATATGGCTCATTTACCTTGAAACAGATTCGTAATGGCAACGGCGACGACGACGGCAGAAACAGTGTTGGGACATTCCAGTAGCCAACGTACAGTACTACGACGACTTTGTGCTGTTGGAATCCCAGCGTATCGTCCTTTCCGAGGAATGGTACTGACTGCTCAACATCAAAGCCTGAGACTGCAATGGGCGAGGCAGGTTCGGCACTGGCAAGTGAGAAATTGGCGTCGAGTGCTGTTGACTGATGAAAGTCGGTTAAATTGTTTGGAAATGACGGCAGAGAACGATTTTATCGACGCAGAGGGGAACGTTTGGCTCCGGCGTGTATTCGAGAGGTCCATCCATTCGGTGTGGGAGGTGTCATGGTGTGGGCGGTATTTGTGGAGATCAGAAGACTGATTTGGTGATTAAACAGGGAAACCTGAACGCTGTGCAGTACAGAGACCAAGTGTTGCATCCAGTTGTGCTTCCGTACTTACAAAACCAACAGCAGGGCACATTGTTTCAACACGACAATGTCAGGCCCCATACTGCAAGACTGACTCTGAACTTTCTAAAACAGCAGAACGTTGACGTTTTGCCCTGGCCTGCCCACTCACCCAATATGAATCCAATTGAACATCTGTGGGACCATTTGACAGACAGAGTAGAGCACGCCATCAGCCTCCCGTCAACAGACAAGAATTGCAGCAGGCCCTTAGAGACGAGTGGCAACGGATTCCAGTCCCCGTCATCAGAAGACAGACGTCATCGATGAGGCGGCGTATCACAGCATGCATTGAGGCAGCTGGAGGTCATACACGCTATTGAAGGCAACTGTGACAACAATGAACTCGTAGCGTGTCTGAGAATTTTTTGGTGACATTTCAGACAACTTTTGAAAATTTCTTACCCCACCATTGTTTACCTTGACTGTGCTGTTACAGCGTAACAGTTTCCTGCAATGTATGCTCCCTGGCTGTTGGAACTCTCCTGTGCGCGAGTCAAATTTGTCGTTGCGTAAAGGTCAGCGAGACAAATCACGCCGTTCGCTCTCGCATCAGGAAATTTAGGTTTTGACCACTTGTGACACACCACAGTGTGAGTATTGGCAGTATATTTATGATAGTAAGGTTAAGATTGTTTGTGTACAGTTTAATTGGGCTGTCATAGGATGATATGTCGGGAATTCGCTTTGACAAGCCTTGTAATGTGACTAAGTTTTCGTGCGGTTTTTGAATATGCTGACGCATTCAATTTATGTGTTTGATTTCCCTTATAATTTATTGTGGCATAAGGTTATACGTAAATGGATATTTTTTACTTTGTTTAGGTGTGTTTTAAACTCTGTTTTAAGGCATTGTGAACTTAAAGTTGTTATTTTTGTTGTATAGTAAATTACCGTAATTATCTTAAAATGAGGATACTTTTTGTTAAACACATGAGATTATATGCTAGCGACCAGGTTAAGTAATCATTTGTTTTTGTATTTCTTACAGCCTTTTACCCTTTATGAGAACCTTCATCTACAGAATAAACACCTTCAAATCTGATGACACTTGTACCATCATTTCTTGAATGGAAGAGGTTCGGGGTTATCTGACTTGTAGCTCGCAAGGGTGATGCAAGTACAGTAAAAGGACTAGTATAAGACTGCTGCAAGCTGGTTAACAGGAAAATGCAACCACCACAGGGATTTGTGTATATCTACACTGTGCAATAGGACAGGAACCCTCTTCAGGCAACAACAGGAGTTAGAAGCTGATTACAACATACAGTAATAACTACTGTGAGAAAATTCATTATGTCTGACATAGACAAAACAGAGGCAGAAAGGTCTGAGGAGTTTATGAGTTTGAAGCAGATGGAAACTATTAAAAAAGAGGAACTCACTGGAACTTCATACAGATTAAGAACTCTAACAGAAAAAGGAAGTGAAATGTATAAGGAGACCAAGGATACACACTGCGCTAAACTAGCTAAAGCCCAACAGGAACTTAAGGGAATTCTTAAAGCTTGTAGTCAATACCAAGGCGACCTCAAGTCATTACGACTTACTGAACGGAGCTTGGCTCAAGTGCATACACATTATTGTGAACTGTCATCGGGATATATAGACTTCTTACGTCGTACAAACACTCTTGATAGCAACAATGACCTAGATCTACATCTGCAGAACTACCAGGTACGGAAAAGTGAAATTGAAATCACGGGCAAACTTTTAGAACTTCACGTCCGGGAACTCATTGATTCATCATCCTATCATTCAAAGTCATTTATGCACACCAGCAAATCTGGGTTAAGCAACACCAGTTCATCGCTTGCTAGGAAGCGTGCTAAGGCAGAGGCAGCACGTGCAAGGGCAGAATATGCTGTCAAGGAAGCAGAGATTCTTAAGCAGCGTGCACTTCTGGAGGAGCAGCAACAACTTGCTGCTGCTAATGCCTCTCGTAAGAAGGCAGACATGGATGCTGACCTCAAACTTCTCAAAGAACAGAAAGAAGTGGCTGGGGCTGAAGCAGAAGTAAGGGAAGATTCTCAGGGATCAAGCAGTCATCTCTCATTACCAGTTGAAGGTGCCAAGGATCGCACAAGGGATTACGTAGCCAGGCACTCACAAAACCAAACAAGTAACATATCTGTGCCTCCGCACAACTTCCAACAAGAAGCCAACAGAAGTCTGACTTCACCTTCTCCCCCACAGGCTCAACAGGGACCAGTTAATGTATTGCCGGACACTAATATTCCATGTGCAGAGGCAGATTTAGTGTACTCAGTGGTACATCAAGGAGATGGAATTGAGAACATTCATAGGGATGAGGGCAACAACATGTTTGTTGCTACTGAACTGTTACGCTTCCTGCTGAAGAAAGAGTTACTGCTCACAAGGCTCACAAGTTTTAACGATCGGCCTGAATCATATGCCATTTGAAAGTTAAGCTTTCTCAGGATCATTGCCGAACTGCAGGCTACAGACGTTGAAGAGTTCGACTTATTGGTGAAGTGGTTAGGCCCTGCATCCTCGAAATACGCCAACAGTTTGAGAGTTGCTAATGTGCAAAACCCTTCAAGAGGCCTTGAAAGAATATGGGCAAGGCTGGATGAAAGATATGGATGCCCAGAGATGGTTGAGGCTGCGATGAAGAATAAACTGGCTGCTTTCCCAAGGTTGACTTACAAGAATAGTGAATTGTTATACGAGCTTTCAGACCTCCTCTCAGAAGTTGAATCCATCAAGGGTCAGGATGAATACAAGGCACTTCTATCTTATTTTGATTCCTCAGCTGGGGTGATACCAATTGTCAACAAACTGCCTTACGGCCTCCAGGAGAGATGGACATCTCATGCCACCAGATACAAAAGAACTAACAAAGTGCCGTTCCCCCCATTTTCAATTTTTGTGGATTTCGTAAGAGACATAAGCAAGGAGAAAAATGATCCAAGTTTTGCACATGAAACTTACACAGCTTCCCCTAGGAAAGACAGATCTAAACTGCCTTTCTCACGACCACCTCAGGTCGTAGCAAATCGGAAGACAGAGGTCACCCAGGAGACTAGAGCAAACCAGGACTGGTCGAACCTGTGCCCTGTTCACAAGACTGATCACTCTTTGAATCAATGTAAGGCATTCAAGCTCAAGACTTTAGAAGACAGCAAGGCACTAATCAAGCGCTTTGGTATTTGTTACAGGTGCTGCCTGACATCGACCCACCTAGCCAAAGCCTGCAGGGAATTTGTTAAATGTGCAGTTTGTGGAAGCAGTAGACATGCTACAGCACTGCATGTTGTTGATTGGGAACAAGAGAACTCAGAAACAGGAACACCTTCTCCCCGAGTGAATGATGGCGGGGAGAGGAAAGATTCACCTTCAGACACAAGCAAATTTCCTATTGCTTCAAAGTACACTCAGATATGTGGAGATGGATTTGCTGGAAAGTCCTGTTCAAAAACTGTTCTAGTGAAAGTTTATCCAGAGGGAAAACCTGATATGGCTACAAGAATGTACGCTATATTTGATGATCAGAGCAATGCATCTTTAGTGAAGTCTGAATTCTTTACAATCATGGAGGCAGATGGTGAAGTAATCCCATACACACTATCATCTTGTGCTGGACGCAAAGATACTTCTGGCCGGAGGGCCAAAGGCTACATCGTAGAGTCATTGGTTGGACATTCCAGGTTACAGCTTCCCACACTGATAGAATGTAATCAGATTCCGGATCACCGAGAAGAGATACCTGTACCTGAGGTTGCAATGCACTATAATCACCTGAAGGACATTGCTAACTGCATACCCCCTCTGGACAATGATGCACAAATTCTCCTTCTGATTAGTAGGGACCTAATAGAGGCCAACCATGTTTTGGACCAACGGATTGGCCCAAACAAGACTCCCTATGGACAAAAACTCTCTCTTGGGTGGTTGATTGTTGGCAAAACTTGCCTTGGCAAAGTTCATTAGCCCAAGCAAGTCACGGTAAATAAGACTTACATTCTGTCAGATGGATGCCCATCCATATTTAAGCCTTGCGACAATCACTTTCAAGTGAAGGAAGGCTGGTCATCGGGAAATGAGAAAAACAAGGTTATCTTCACAGCACGTGAAAGAAATGGACAAAATGAGGACAAGCTATTTGTAACCACTCAAGAGGATGACACATTAGGATTATCAGTGGAGGACAGAGAGTTCCTTGAAATCATGGATAATGAAATGGTCAAAACATCAGAAGGTAACTGGATTTCCCCACTTCCTTTCCAAAATGGCAGAAGACGGCTCCCAAACAATAGGAGCCAAGCTTTGAACAGGGCCAAGACTCTAGATCGCTGCCTGAAACGAGAGACCATCAAAAGACAACAATTCCTGGAATTCATGCAGAGAATTCTTGACAATTATCATGCAGAGTTGGCTCCACCATTGACCGAAGATGAGGAACGTTGGTATTTACCTTTGTTTGGGGTTTACCACCCAAAGAAGCCGGACCAGTTAAGAGCAGTGTTCAACTCTTCAGCAAATCATGAGGGGACATCACTTAATGATGTGCCGCTGAAAGGACCAGACTTAGCAAACAGTCTTGTAGGTGTGCTTCTACGCTTTCGAAGAGAGTCGACAGCTGTAATGGCAGATATTCAGCAAATGTTCTATTTTTTTCTCGTAAAAGAGGAACACAGGAATTTCCTACGATTTCTATGGTATAAGGATAATGACATAAACCAAGAGTTGGTGGAATACAGGATGAAAGTTCATGTCTTTGGAAACAGCCCTTCACCAGCTGTCGCCACTTACGGACCGAGGAGATCTGCCAAGTCTGTTGTAGAAACATACGGAAAGGATGTGCAGCTCTTCGTCGAAAGAGACTTCTATGTTGATGATGGGCTAACATGTCTACTAACTACCGAGCAAGCAATTGACCTAATAAAGAGAACACAGCAAGCATTGCTGTCAGGAGGAAATCTGAGACTACACAAGGTAGCATCAAATGATCCAGAGGTTATGAAAACATTCCCATCAGACGACTTGGCTAAAGACCTAAAAGACCTGGACCTAGGGTCAGACTTGCTTCCTGTGCAGCGTAGCCTAGGAATGATGTGGGACTTGCAATCTGACTCCTTCACTTTCAAAGTGTCTGCAGACCCAAAACCTTACACCAAGCGAGGAATTCTATCAACAATCAACAGTCTGTTCGGCCCTATGGGATTTGCTGTTCCTGTGACCATTCGTGGAAAAATTCTCTTTCGGGATCTGATTTCTTGAAATTCAGATTGGGATCAACCATCACCTTCTGCCAATGAACGAGAATGGGAAGATTGGAAGGACTCGTTAACATTGCTTGAGGAACTGAAGATACCACGCACATATGTGCCTGTCTCATTTCAGGGTGTCATAACAAAAGAGATACATGTCTTCTCAGACGCATCAGAGAAGGCCGTAGCTGCTGTGGCTTACTTGAGAACTGTTGATAAAGATAAAGGCCAAAGGACAGGCTTCATTCTTGGCAAGGCAAAGGTTGCTTCTACGCATGGGCACACCATACCAAGGTTGGAACTTTGTGCTGCAGTACTTGCAGTTGAAATTGCGGATCTGGTTTGTGAACATCTCGGACTTCCTCTTGATGTTGTTCAGTATTACACAGACAGCAAGATAGTCCTAGGCTACATCTACAATCAAACAAGAAGCTTTTAAGTGTATGTATCTAACAGGACTGACCGTATCAGGAAATATTCTCAACCAGAACAATGACATTATGTCCATTCGGATAAGAACCCGGCTGATATTGGTACCAGATCCATCCATGCTTCGCAGTTGAATTCATCAAGTTGGCTCTCAGGTCCAACGCCAATTTCCCAAGATTCCTGTGCTCATACCTTCATCCTTACTGATGAGGAAAACGACAAGGAACTGAGACCTGCACCTTCGTCCATGAAGACAAGGGTATGCGACACTAGTGGATCTTTGGCTGCACGCTACCTTGAAAAATTTCTTCTTTGGAAAGTCTTGTACTCGCTTTCACTCTACTCAAGTGCATGGCTCGCAAAATCCAAAACAAAGATCCATTGGGAATCAATTCGGACACCTTGAAAGAGACTGAACGCTTTCTAATGAAAACAGTACAGTACAGAACCTTTGGAGCAGAGATTGACTGTCTGCTGGCAAATTCGCCCATCCCAAGGAATAGCACTATATTGAGGTTGGATCCAAAGCTGGATGAACATGGTATTCTGTGTGTTGGCGGACGCCTAAACAAATCAGATTTTGATGCTCGCCTGAAAAACCCGACCATTATTCCTGGTGACTCTCACCTTGCGAGGCTCCTGGTGCGTCACCATCACTCAAGGGTCAAACATCAGGGTTGTACGTTCACAGAAGGAGCAGTTAGGTCGGCTGGTTTATGGATCACTGGAGCTAAGAGGGTGATCTCCTCGCTCATATACAAGTGTGTTTCATGTCGGAAGCTCCGTGGAAGACAACAATACCAGAAGATGGCTGATCTCCCTAGTGACCGTCTAATGCCAAGTCCTCCCTTCACTTACGTTGGATTAGACACCTTTGGACCATGGTTTGTTGTTACACGTCGCACTAGAGGGGGTCAGGCTAATAACAAGCAGTGGGCTGTTTTATTCACGTGTCTTACCACAAGGGCTATCCATATTGAAGTTGTTGAAGAATTATCTTCTTCTTCATTCATCAACGCTCTCAGAAGATTCATTTCAATAAGGGGACCAGTGAAGGAACTGAGGTCGGATAGCGGAACAAACTTTGTTGGAGCAACAGATGCCCTCAAGATAAATGTTGTGAATGTTGAGGACAATTCTATCAAGCATTTCCTAGATGATGAAAGGACCAAATGGATTTTCAATCCACCACAATCCTCACACATGGGCGGCGTCTGGGAAAGGATGATAGGAGTCACACGAAGAATTCTGGACTCTATGTTGGCAGAAACCCACTATAGGGATTTAACTCATGAAGTCCTATCGACATTCATGGCTGAAATATTGGCGATTGTGAATGCGCGACATATCGTCGCCAGAAATTCTTACCCCTGCCATTCTCTTGACTCAGAAGACTAATCATGAGGTGGAACCAATAGAACTTTGTGACTCCAAGGACTTGCTTCGATCGCAATAGCAGAGAGTTCAATCCCTCGCAAATACGTTCTGGAATCGTTGGAAACAGGAATATCTCCACACTGTACAGCCAAGACGTAAGTGGTTTCAGGACCAGAGAAATGTGCTACTGGGTGATCTTGTTCTACTGAATGAGAAGAACAGTACCAGAAATGATTGGCCAATGGCAGTTGTCGAGAGATCCTTCCCAAGCAGTGATGGGAAGTACGAAAGGTTGAACTTCGAATAATGAGAGGAGGAAAGATTACGAGGTACATTCGTCCAGTTACAGAGTTGGTAACACTGCTGTCTCCAAACTCTGATACTTCATAAACTGTCCAGTTCAAGATGAACTCTCAAGTGCCAAATAACTTTTTCATGTGTTATATTAGTTATTTTAGATGTAGTTTTGATTTATTAGAATTAGTTGCTGAACTTGAGGTGATATCTCGGTGAGATATCAGGCGGGGAGTGTGCTGTTACAGCGTAACAGTTTCCTGCAATGTATGCTCCCTGGCTGTTGGAACTCTCCTGTGCGCGAGTCAAATTTGTCGTTGCGTAAAGGTCAGCGAGACAAATCACGCTGTTCGCTCTCGCAATCAGGAAAATTAGGTTTTGACCACTTGTGACACACCACAGTGTGAGTATTGGCAGTATATTTATGATAGTAAGGTTAAGATTGTTTGTGTACGGTTTAATTGGGCTGTCATAGGATGATATGTCGGGAATTCGCTTTGACAAGCCTTGTAATGTGACTAAGTTTTCGCGCGGATTCAATTTATGTGTTTGATTTCCCTTATAATTTATTGTGGCATAAGGTTATACGTAAATGGATATTTTTTACTTTGTTTAGGTGTGTTTTAAACTCTGTTTTAAGGCATTGTGAACTTAAAGTTGTTATTTTTGTTGTATAGTAAATTACCGTAATTATCTTAAAATGAGGATACTTTTTGTTAAACACATGAGATTATATGCTAGCGACCAGGTTAAGTAATCATTTGTTTTTGTATTTCTTACAGCCTTTTACCCTTTATGAGAACCTTCATCTACAGAATAAACACCTTCAAATCTGATGACACTTGTACCATCATTTCTTGAATGGAAGAGGTTCGGGGTTATCTGACTTGTAGCTCGCAAGGGTGATGCAAGTACATTGACCTTACCTGTGATTGCACAATTTCATTCAAACTGTGGTTGATCAATCATCTGTTACACCTCCATAGATTATATTATAACTCACAACATAACTTCTTCTTGTTTTTGTTTTTTTATGGATCATGGAACTCGACCTGTACTTTCTTTTGCCGCCCAGTTTATAACATTTATCGGCTGGTTATGAAAGCAGGAGAGCCTATTCTTTATTATCTTAAAGATGGACCGTGCAGGGCATTTGTACGAGAAGAGTTGCTCATAGTTCTCAGAGATTCAGTATTACCACCATAAGTGACCATAAGCGTAGGTAGTTACACCATCCTTATCAATCCATCTCTTTGTATCTAAGGGGGATAATCATGTCTTGTTAATTCTTAATCCATATATCCTGTGATTGTCCATCTTAAAGTGTTCATCTCATGTTTGGATGTTCTACCATTGAATAATGCTTCTTTATTCTGTTCGTGTTTGATATGCTTATTTACCACATTCTTCTTAACACCCTTAGCTTTTCTTTTCTCCCCATTATCAGACTTCTTTATAGAATACATCTTAGGTCTTAATCCGACATACTCCGCAATAGGGCTCCCAGCATACTCATCCTTCATCTTACCTCATACCTTTTTTACCGCGCTGTGTAATGGATTATCTTTATAAAAAGCTGTGAATGCTCTCGACGGAGTTGACACTGCGCTTGTAACAGCTAGCATGGGACTCTGTGTAGCCGGTGTTGGTTTATTATCAACTATTGTCGCTGCGCCTATCGTACTTGGCCTGGAAGTAGCAGCGAGAGTCTCTGGACTGGCGGGAATAGCGATAAAATGTATTTCTCGTAAGTTGAAAAAGAAGGCATTAAAACATGCTAATATTCGGATACTAGCCGAAGCAACGTTAAACAGCATTGAAGATCAGATTTCAACAGCATTGGCTGAGTGTAAGATATCCGAGGAGGAGTTTCGTTTAGTGTTGTCAGAACTCACACAATACAAGCAATGAAGCAGGAGATTCGATCAAATTCTCGTAAGACCAGTGGCATCAGTTAAGACGAGAAAAAAGTTCATAGAACAGGGGAGACAACAAGCGCGTCAGTTATTCCGTACACAAACCAAATAACTGCTTGCAGATTAAGAATAGATTGATTCCTGTCGGTGGATCACATTTAAACGAATGCTTACTTAAGTCTATAATAAAGCCAATCAAATGGCGAGAATTACCACAACCCAGGAAGGTATATATTATATCAGTGAACCAAATACGGTTATCAATTGTTTCTTTCCAATTTCGGAAATTGAGTCAGGTCTCCTAGTACAATGAACAAAAAACTTAGTAAAAATGTTGAATATCACTTTGTTGAAAATAATGGTATGCGTATGAATAAAAATGATAGAAAATATTTTCATCACAATTTGGTTTAGTCTCGTTGAATCACATCATCGTTTTTGTATAAATAATATTCTCTGAGCTATAACTATAAAAAACAATTATATCATGGTGGTGAGCTAAATTAAGCTTAATCTCGGATCGCAGCAGGGTATAAATCTGGCCCCAGTGGAGTTGCGGTGGAGCCCCCAATGCCCATACTACTATCCCTGTCAGGTACATACCCTCCCACACAAGCCGAGTATATGGTGTGACTTATCAGTTGTTCATCATTTTGATTCTCCCTCGTCAGGTGTATGCTATGGAAAGACTAAGAGCTTATTTCTTCTCCCCTCTTACCCTCCACTGTCAGCGAATGTACATACTGCTTTGGGTGCTTTGCTATTAATAAAGGTCAGACGTTATTTTTAGAACACCCTCGTCTCGTTCTTCAATGTTTGTTGTAAATTCGTTTAAAATAGATAAGTATTACGTTTTATGTTACAGCAATACTAGTATATACTTTTATACTTTCACTGTCAAGATTTGTGTACAATGGCCACAAAGTGTATGCTTACCACCCTGCTGCGCACAGCGAAACCATGATCAGGCCCTGGTGTACCTTCTTCCTCGTAGGTATTGAAATGATATGTACCCAGTATGTCATCCAATGATCGTCCCACATACTGCGGTCTCTATCGTTCACATAATATTAGGGTTTACAGAGAATATGTAGCTGAACATGCACCAAGTCAAGTTTTCACAAAATGGTCTTAGCCACTTTCGGATGTAATATAACATGTATTGTAATGTCTGCCTTACCAGGTAACTCCTGACCAGCCACTGCAGTGTGTTGTGCGGGTCTACCTGTACTGCATACCCAACTGTTTAGAAACAGTTTACATGTACAGTTATTTAAACTCGGCTCGCCTGACCTGTGCGACCTGTGATAAAGCTGACAAACGTATCTAATGAGGCAACACATGGAAATATTACCATCCTGTTTTGTTTTTTGTTTGTTTGTTTGTTTGTTTGTTTTTGGGGTGGGTGGGTGGGTGGGGGGTGGGGGCTGGGTGTGTGTGTGTGTGTGTGGGGGGGGGGGGGGGGGGGGGGGGGGGGTTGGGTTTTGTTTTGTTTGTTTTGTTTTTTGGGGGGGTGTTTGGTTTTTTGTGTTTGTTTGTTGTTATTGTTTGTTTGTTTGTTGTTGTTGTTTTTTGGGGGGAGGGGGTTCTATGGCACGTGGCGTTGGTCCGTTGTTTAATTGCACACACGTCTGTAAAAAGAAACCACAGTGGTGATACCGTGGTTCCAATTGTTCAGATGCAATTCTTTTATGTTTCGTTTCGTTCCTTGCTTATCCACCCATCCGTGTTTCACAATATCCCAGCCAGAACAGTGGGAATCGATCGTGGAACATGCAAACGCTTTAGGCATGTCTTCGGAGCCCCCGTTGCGTGGCATTATTTGCTGTTTTTATCATATTTTAGGCACAACCTGATAATCTGGCAAAAGAGTAAGAGATGGAAAGGCCGTCTAATGTGAGGATGCTGCCTTTATCAAACTCGGCTCACATATAAGAGATATCATCTGAATAGACTTAAGCCACGATTGACAGAATGGTAGACTCTGTCATTTCCAAACCCGAGGTCAGTGTGACCTGTTCCCCAGGAGACGACTCGAAGGCTTTCAAGTGTAAAGGAATGCTGCGGAGTGACGTGTCGTGTCATCTATTGCACTAATGAATGCCTCAACGTAACCATTGAGGAGACGAGGATGTGTGAAGTGTATTCGGGTAACATGTGATACAGGATGTATTCCCTATGTGTGAAGTGTATTCGGGTAACATGTGATACAGGATGTATTCCCAATGTGTGAAGTGTATATGGGGTAACATGTGATACAGGATGTATTCCCAATGTGTGAAGTGTATATGGGGTAACATGTGATACATGATGTATTCCCTATGTGTGAAGTGTATTCGGGTAACATGTGATACAGGATGTATTCCCCATGTGTGAAGTGTATATGGGGTAACATGTGATACAGGATGTATTCCCAATGTGTGAAGTGTATATGGGGTAACATGTGATACATGATGTATTCCCTATGTGTGAAGTGTATTCGGGTAACATGTGATACAGGATGTATTCCCTATGTGTGAAGTGTATATGGGGTAACATGTGATACATGATGTATTCCCTATGTGTGAAGTGTATTCGGGTAACATGTGATACAGGATGTATTCCCCATGTTTGAAGTGTACATGGGGTAACATGTGATACAGGATGTATTCCCCATGTGTGAAGTGTATATGGGGTAACATGTGATACAGGATGTATTCCCTATGTGTGAAGTGTATATGGGGTAACATGTGATACAGGATTTATTCCCCATGTGTGAAGTGTATATGGGGTAACATGTGATACATGATGTATTCCCTATGTGTGAAGTGTATTCGGGTAACATGTGATACAGGATGTATTCCCCATGTTTGAAGTGTACATGGGGTAACATGTGATACAGGATGTATTCCCCATGTGTGAAGTGTATTCGGGTAACATGTGATACAGGATGTATTCCCAATGTGTGAAGTGTATATGGGGTAACATGTGATACATGATGTATTCCCTATGTGTGAAGTGTATTCGGGTAACATGTGATACAGGATGTATTCCCCATGTTTGAAGTGTAGATGGGGTAACATGTGATACAGGATGTATTCCCCATGTGTGAAGTGTATATGGGGTAACATGTGATACAGGTACATAAATGAAAATGAAAATTGGGCCTCCAAGATCACACCTTACATTTTGCCATGTGGGAGGAGGAGCTCTGAAAGACATGTAAACGGCTTGCAACCTTATCCAGTGGTATATGACACCCGAGAGACATATTTTACAGAATGTTACTGGAAGACCTCCGTTGCCAGATGACAATAATGAGAAATCTCACCTTGCTCCTCCATTGTGTAAATTGTCCGTCGAGCAGGCTGTGTGAGGCCTTTCGGTACATTATGGATAATCTCCGAAATAATTCTCCGAAGCAGGCTCCTGCTGGCCCACATAGAAAGAATATGAATGTAAGTGTCTTGTGAGGTGAGAGTTGCGCTGTCAACTGTAACGGAATCAACGGAATGCAAGTGGTAGCCAGCTCTTGTTCTACCTGCAGAGCCAAACTATTTGTAAATACTGGGATAGCATAGGTCACTCCGACCTTTCACGACTGTGTCTCTGCGGATACTCACACCACCAGTAGAAACCAACTATGTAAAGTAATAGCTATTGTATCATGTTGAAATACAATGTGTGTTTGACGACTAGATATAGATATGTACTCGACAGGCCGTGGGGAGAGGGAGAGATATGTAGGTAGGGGTGAAGTAGGGGCTGGGGAAGTGTGTAGGTAGGGGAGAAATGGAGGGTGGGGAGGTGTGTAGGTAGGGGAAAAGTGGAGGGTGGGGAGGTGTGTAGGTAGGGGAGAAGTGGAGGGTGGCAAGATGTGTAGGTAGGGGAGAAGTGGAGGGTGTGGAGGTGTGTAGGTAGGAGAGAAGTGGAGGGTGTGGAGGTGTGTAGGTAGGAGATAAGTGGAGGGTGTGGAGGTGTGTAGGTAGGAGAGAAGTGGAAGGTGGGAAGGTGTGTAGGTAGGGGAGAAGTGGAAGGTGGGAAGGTGTGTAGGTAGGGGAGAAGTGGGAGAGGAGAGGTGTATAGGTAGGGGAGAAGTGGAAGGTGGGGAGGTGTGTTGGTAGTGGAGAAGTGGAGGGTGGCGAGGTGTGTAGGTAGGGGATAAGTGGGGGGAGGAGAGGTGTGTAGGTAGGGGAGAAGTGGAGGGTGGGGAGGTGTGTAGGTAGGGGAGAAGTGGAGGGTGGCGAGGTGTGTAGGTAGGGGATAAGTGGGGGGAGGAGAGGTGTGTAGGTAGTGGAGAAGTGGAGGGTGGGGAGGTGTGTAGGTAGGACAAAAGTGGAGGGTGGCGAGGTGTGTAGGTAGGGGAGAAGTGGGGGGAGATGAGGTGTGTAGGTAGGAGAGAAGTGGAGGGTGTGGAGGTGTGTAGGTAGGAGAGAAGTGGAGGGTGTGGAGGTGTGTAGGTAGGAGAGAAGTGGAGGGTGGGGAAGTGTGTAGGTAGGGGAGAAGTGGAGGGTGGCGAGGTGTGTAGGTAGGGGATAAGTGGGGGGAGGAGAGGTGTGTAGGTAGGGGAGAAGTGGAGGGTGGGGAGGTGTGTAGGTAGGACAAAAGTGGAGGGTGGCGAGGTGTGTAGGTAGGGGAGAAGTGGGGGGAGATGAGGTGTGTAGGTAGGAGAGAAGTGGAGGGTGTGGAGGTGTGTAGGTAGGAGAGAAGTGGAGGGTGTGGAGGTGTGTAGGTAGGAGAGAAGTGGAGGGTGGGGAGGTGTGTAGGTAGGAGAGAAGTGGAGGATGGGGAGGTGTGTAGGTAGTGGAGAACTGGAGGGTGGCAAGATGTGTAGGTAGGGGAGAAGTGGAGGGTGTGGAGGTGTGTAGGTAGGAGAGAAGTGGAGGGTGGGGAGGTGTGTAGGTAGGGGAGAAGTGGAGGGTGGGGAGGTGTGTAGGTAGGGGAGAAGTGGAGGGTGGGGAGATGTGTAGGTAGGAGAGAAGTGGAGGGTGGGGAGGTGTGTAGGTAGGGGAGAAGTGGAGGGTGGGGAGGTGTGTAGGTAGGGGAGAAGTGGAGGGTGGGGAGGTGTGTAGGTAGGGGAGAAGTGGAAGGTGGGGAGGTGTGTAGGTAGTGGAGAAGTGGAAGGTGGCGAGGTGTGTAGGTAGGGGATAAGTGGGGGGAGGAGAGGTGTGTAGGTAGGGGAGAAGTGGAGGGTGGGGAGGTGTGTAGGTAGGGGAGAAGTGGAGGGTGGCGAGGTGTGTAGGTAGGGGATAAGTGGGGGGAGGAGAGGTGTGTAGGTAGTGGAGAAGTGGAGGGTGGGGAGGTGTGTAGGTAGGACAAAAGTGGAGGGTGGCGAGGTGTGTAGGTAGGGGAGAAGTGGGGGGAGATGAGGTGTGTAGGTAGGAGAGAAGTGGAGGGTGTGGAGGTGTGTAGGTAGGAGAGAAGTGGAGGGTGTGGAGGTGTGTAGGTAGGAGAGAAGTGGAGGGTGGGGAAGTGTGTAGGTAGGGGAGAAGTGGAGGGTGGCGAGGTGTGTAGGTAGGGGATAAGTGGGGGGAGGAGAGGTGTGTAGGTAGGGGAGAAGTGGAGGGTGGGGAGGTGTGTAGGTAGGACAAAAGTGGAGGGTGGCGAGGTGTGTAGGTAGGGGAGAAGTGGGGGGAGATGAGGTGTGTAGGTAGGAGAGAAGTGGAGGGTGTGGAGGTGTGTAGGTAGGAGAGAAGTGGAGGGTGTGGAGGTGTGTAGGTAGGAGAGAAGTGGAGGGTGTGGAGGTGTGTAGGTAGGAGAGAAGTGGAGGGTGGGGAGGTGTGTAGGTAGGAGAGAAGTGGAGGATGGGGAGGTGTGTAGGTAGGGGAGAAGTGGGGGGAGGAGAGGTGTGTAGGTAGGGGAGAAGTGGAAAGTGGGGAGGTGTGTAGGTAGTGGAGAACTGGAGGGTGGCAAGATGTGTAGGTAGGGGAGAAGTGGAGGGTGTGGAGGTGTGTAGGTAGGAGAGAAGTGGAGGGTGGGGAGGTGTGTAGGTAGGGGAGAAGTGGAGGGTGGGGAGGTGTGTAGGTAGGGGAGAAGTGGAGGGTGGGGAGATGTGTAGGTAGGAGAGAAGTGGAGGGTGGGGAGGTGTGTAGGTAGGGGAGAAGTGGAGGGTGGGGAGGTGTGTAGGTAGGGGAGAAGTGGAGGGTGGGGAGGTGTGTAGGTAGGGGAGAAGTGGAAGGTGGGGAGGTGTGTAGGTAGTGGAGAAGTGGAAGGTGGGGAGGTGTGTAGTAGGGGAGAAATGGAGGGTTGGGAGGTGTGTAGGTAGGAGAGAAGTGGAGGGTGGGGAAGTGTGTAGATAGGAGAGAAGTGGAGGGTGGGGAAGTGTTTAGGTAGGAGAGAAGTGAAGGGTGGGGAAGTGTGTAGGTAGGGGAGAAGTGGAAGGTGGGGAGGTGTGTAGGTAGGAGAGAAGTGGAGGGTGGGGAAGTGTGGAGGTAGGGGAGAAGTGGAGGGTGGGAAAGTGTGTAGGTAGGGAAGAAATGGAGGGTGGGGAAGTGTGTGATAGGAGAGAAGTGGAGGGTGGGGAAGTGTGTAGGTAGGGGAGAAGTGGAGGTGTGTAGGTAGGAGAGAGGTTGGGGCTGGGGAGGTGTGTAGGTAGGGAAGAAGTGGGGGCTGGGGAGGTGTGTAGGTAGGGGAGAAGTGGAGGGTGGGGAGGTGTGTAGGTAGTGGAGAAGTGGAAGGTGGGAAGATGTGTAGGTAGTGGAGAAGTGGAGGGTGGCAAGATGTGTAGGTAGGGGAGAAGTGGAGGGTGTGGAGGTGTGTAGGTAGGAGAGAAGTGGAGGTTGGGGAGGTGTGTAGGTAGGGGAGAAGTGGAAGGTGGGAAGGTGTGTAGGTAGTGGAGAAGTGGGGAGAGGAGAGGTGTGTAGGTAGGGGTGAAGTGGAAGGTGGGGAGGTGTGTTGGTAGTGGAGAAGTGGAGGGTGGGGAGATGTGTAGGTAGGAGAGAAGTGGAGGGTGGGGAGGTGTGTAGGTAGGGGAGAAGTGGAGGGTGGGGAAGTGTGTAGGTAGGGGAGAAGTGGAGGGTGGGGAGGTTTGTAGGTAGGGGAGAAATGGAGGGTTGGGAGGTGTGTAGGTAGGAGAGAAGTGGAGGGTGGGGAAGTGTGTAGATAGGAGAGAAGTGGAGGGTGGGGAAGTGTGTAGGTAGGAGAGAAGTGGAGGGTGGGGAAGTGTTTAGTCAGGAGAGAAGTGGAGGGTGGGGAAGTGTTTAGTCAGGAGAGAAGTGGAAGGTGGGGAGGTGTGTAGGTAGGAGAGAAGTGGAGGGTGGGGAAGTGTGTAGATAGGAGAGAAGTGGAAGGTGGGGAGGTGTGTAGTTAGGGGAGAAGTGGAAGGTGGGGAGGTGTGTAGGTAGGAGAGAAGTGGAGGGTGGGGAAGTGTTTAGTCAGGAGAGAAGTGGAAGGTGGGGAGGTGTGTAGGTAGGAGAGAGGTGGAGGGTGGGGAAGTGTGTAGGTAGGGGAGAAGTGGAAGGTGGGGAGGTGTGTAGGTAGGGGAGAAGTGGAGGGTGGGGAAGTGTGTAGGTAGGGAAGAAATGGAGGGTGGGGAAGTGTGTAGTCAGGAGAGAAGTGGAGGGTGGGGAAGTGTGTAGGTAGGGGAGAAGTGGAGGTGTGTAGGTAGGAGAGAGGTTAGGGCTGGGGAGGTGTGTAGGTAGGGAAGAAGTGGGGGCTGGGGAGGTGTGTAGGTAGGGGAAAAGTGGAGGTCGGGGAGGTGTGTAGGTAGTGGAGAAGTGGAGGGAGGGGGAGAAGTGCAGGGAGGGGGGGACATGGAGGGGTCTTGTTGGCAGGCTGGGTATGTGTAGCTGGAGGAATGTTTCCTGTTTACACCAGCCTGTATCCTTCAGTGGACAGATTTGTAGTCACCAAACTAATGTGTTGAGTTTGAAGGACTTTCAATACAGCTTTGTACTAGTGTCAATGAAGTGCTCGTTTTGAAGTGAGTGGGAGAGGCTGTAGTTGACAGGCTAGTTATGTGTAGCCGTAGGTTTCCTGTTTAGATCAGCTTGTATGTTTCAATGGACAGATCTGTTGTGCTGGGATCAATCAAACCGCCGTGATGCATGTGTTGCAGCTGACAAATGCATATCCTTGCATCTCCAATATCGGCGTCAGAGAATACCCTTGCACCTCCAATGTCGGAATCTCAGTTGACCCTTCCACCTCACATGTCGGCATCTCAGTTGACCCTTGCACCTCCCATGTCGGTCTGAGTGTTGACCCTGGCACCTCCCATGTCAGCCTGAGTGTTGACCCTTGCACCTCCCATGTCAGCCTGAGTGTTGACCCTTGCATCTCCCATGTCGGTCTGAGTGTTGACCCTTGCATCTCCCATGTCTGCCTGAGTGTTGACCCTTGCACCTCCCATGTCAGCGTGAGTGTTGACCCTTGCACCTCCCATGTCTCCCTGAGTGTTGACCCTTGCACCTCCCATATCTGCTTGATTGGTGACCCTTGCACCTCCCATGTCAGCCGGAGTGTTGACCCTCACACCTCACATGTCAACCTGAGTGTTCACCCTTGCATCTCCCATGTCGGTCTGAGTGTTGACCCTTGCATCTCCCATGTCGGTCTGAGTGTTGACCCTTGCATCTCCCATGTCTGCCTGAGTGTTGACCCTTGCACCTCCCATGTCAGCGTGAGTGTTGACCCTTGCACCTCCCATGTCTCCCTGAGTGTTGACCCTTGCACCTCCCATATCTGCTTGATTGGTGA